CGGGCCGGGACGGGGGAGCCTCCAGGATGCCGGCGCTGCTGGAGCGGCCGAAGCTGAGCTCGGCCATGGCCCGGGCCTTGCACCGGCACGTCATGGTGGAGCGGGAGCGGAAGCGCCAGGGTGGGTTGGAGAGACAGAGAGAACCACACAACACACACACAGAGACACACACACACAAAAGGGTAGGTGGGTGGGTGGGTGCAACCGGGACGGGGGAGCCTCCAGGATGCCGGCGCTGCTGGAGCGGCCGAAGCTGAGCTCGGCCATGGCCCGGGCCTTGCACCGGCACGTCATGGTGGAGCGGGAGCGGAAGCGCCAGGGTGGGTTGGAGAGACAGAGAGAACCACACAACACACACACAGAGACACACACACACAAAAGGGTAGGTGGGTGGGTGGGTGCAAAAGGTCCTGGCGGGCAAGGGACCGACCTGCCCAGAAGGGAGGGAGGAGGGACCCTGGGGAAACACACGCGGACACACAACACACACCTACACACTCGCTGAGGGAAGGAGGGGACGAGGGACCCCAGACAGACACACACACACACACACCTACCCACCCCTACACTCTCTGCACACTCTCCAGGGGAAGGAGGGAGACCAGACAGACAGGCACGTACACACACACCAGGGGTGACCCACAAGCACAGGCACACACGGACCCCCACCCCACCCCCCTGGTCGCGGGCAAACGATGGCCCGGAAGGGGGAAGGGAAGCCAGCGCTGGAAGCTCCTTGCGGACAGGGACCTGCCCAGAAGGAAGTAAGGAAACAGGCACACAAACACACATGGAGAGAGAGAGAAAAGCAACACCTGCGGACAGGGACCTGCCCAGAAGGAAGTAAGGAAAGAGGCACACAAACACACACACACACAGAGAGAAAAGCAACACTCCATCTATATCTGCATACACATAGATCTCATACACACGCACCACGGGAAGGAAAAAAAGAGAGAGGTGGAAACAAGGAAGACAGGAAAGGAGAGAAGGGAGGACCCAAAACAGGTGCGCACGCACACACACACAGAGGAAGAGAGACACACACACAGAAACACATCAGGGTCTATACATATGTAGGCATGTCAAGCCAAACAGAGTGAAGTCTCCCTGGAGCCTTCAGCACACACACACACACAGAGAGAGAAACATATCGGGGTCTGTACACATGTAGGCATGTCAAGCCAAACGGAGTGGAGCCTTCAACCTGAAGAGAGTAAAGCCTCTCCCGCTTGTCTCTTCCTGTCCTGCAGAGGAGGAAGAGGTGGACAAAATGATGGAGCAGAAGATGAAAGAGGAGCAGGAGAGGCGGCGGAAGAAGGAGATGGAGGAGCGCATGTCGCTGGAGGAGACCAAAGAGCAGGTGGGTGTGGTGCAGCGGCGCCAGCCGAAGGCGGCTTTGCCCCAGTGGGTCTGGGGAGCCACCGGCAGGCGGGCAGGAATCCCTGCCCAGCCCTCCTCCTCACCCTGTGTGCTCGCCCGCCCTCAGATCTTGAAGCTTCAAGAGAAACTTCAAGCCTTGCAAGAGGAGAAGCATCAGCTGTTCCTGCAGCTGAAGAAGGTGCTCCATGAGGAGGAGAAGCGCCGTCGCAAGGAGCAAAGGTGGGTGAGCGGAAGGAGGCGGGCAGAGACCACCCTGACCCCCACCGCCTGGCTCTGACCCTCCCTCTTCCTCCACCTCTCCCAGAACGTGTTTGTCAGGTCTGGGAATGGAAGGAGCCGGAATATGGGTTTTTACATATAGGAAGAGAGCTTGATGAGGAAGGAAGGACTGATGATGGATAGAAGGATGAAAGAAAGGAAAGAAGAATTAAAGATAGGAAGAAAGGAAGGGAGGAAGTGGTGAGGAGGGAAGAAAGGAAGGGTGAAGAAGGAAGGAAGGACTGATGATGGATAGAAGGAAGGAAGGAAGGAAGGAAGGAAGGAAGGAAGAATTAAAGATAGTCATGGAGAAAGGAAGGAAGGAACTGGCGAGGAAAGAAGGAACTGGTGAGGAGGGAAGGAAGGAAGGAAAAGAGAGTGGAAGAAGGAAGGAAGACAGTCCCAGAAGTGTCTGCACACAGAATTTAAGAACCTGGATGGATCACACCCAAGACATCCTTGCTAGTCCCATCATCCTCTTCCCTTAAGGAACCACATCATCAGGACAGGAGGGCAACGGCCCCTTCCTGACTGTCACCCCCAGACAGAGGTATACAGCTCTCTGGTCCCGGAGGGAACGCCAGGGTGGAAGATACACGCGTGGATCAGAGGAAAGGGTTTGGAAGGAGACCAGGCTCCTTCGTGGCTGTGTTGTCCGCCACTGGTTCACCCACATGTAGGGTCCTCCCATGCATCCTACCTGAAAGAAAACAGGAGAACGCAGAACTAGGAGAGGCACAGAGGGATGTGACTAGAAGACAGTGTTTGTTGCCTTTGCAGCACCTTCAGTGGGAGGAAAGGGGTTTGGGAGTTAAGTGGGTGGAAATTCTGGTGGTGGGGATTCTGGCTGTTGCAGTCCAAAAAGGGATTCCAGACTGGTAAGCTTTGAGGTATTGAAGGGAGGCCCAGCGTCCTGAGAGACAGAGGTGTTATGGACTACCCGGGCTTGAGGAGAACAGCAGGGACCTGTTTCAAACGTGACAAGCCCACCGTTGTCTTTTCCTTGCACGTTTTCTCTCTTGCCACTCCAGCGATATGACCACATTGGCGGCGGCTGCTTACCAGCAGGGCATGGCTGTTCATGCAGGGACCCACATCCTCAATATGCAAGGTGAGTGGAGGGCAGGGGGAGGGAGCTTTGTCTTACCAGCAATCATTCTCATCATTAACCAACTGGAACCAATTCAGAGGAGGGCCACAAGGAGAATCAGGGGACTAGAAACCAAGCCCTAGGAGGAAAGACAGAAAGAACTGGGCCTGTTTAGCTGGAGAAAAGAAGGCCGAGGGGAGATAGGATAACCCTTTTCAAAATCTTAAATGTTAGTCCTACAGACAACAGCCTGTTTAGCTGGAGAAAAGAAGGCCGAGGAGAGACAGGATAACCCTTTTCAAAATCTTAAATGGTAGTCCTACAGACAACAATGGGCTCAAGGTATAGGAAGCCAGATTTCGGCTGAATATCAGGGAAAACCTCTCAACTGTTAGAGCTGTATGACAAGAGAACCAAAGACCTCAGCGGGGAGGTAGTGAGCACTCTTAACGCTGGAGGTATTCAAGAGAAAATTGGACAGCCATCTATCTGATTTCCTTTGATTGGAATTCTTGCCTTGAGCAGGGAGGTTGGACTCCGTGGCCTTAGGGGGACCCCTTCCAACTTCATGATTCAATGTGCTGTCAAATCCATCCTGACTTAATGGTGACCCCTTTTCAAAGTTTTCTCGGTAGTGGTTTCCTGTTCCCTTCTTCTGTGGGGCCTTTCTAAGACTGTAACACAGCTTGCCCAAGGCTAGCTTCTTCTCCCAGGAAGCACAAGCGGGGAATCAAAAAACCCCACCTCTGGCGCCGCAGCCAGAGATCTAGACCAACCCCTGATATTCCGCCCCAAAGCGTAGAGAGGAGGAACAAGTGAAAAGTGGGGGTGGGAAGCAGGCGTTATCTCTGTCTCTCCTTCAAACTCCAGAACTTGTTTCTTTATTCGTCTGCTACATTTCTATTTCACCTTTCCTCTAAGGAGTGATCAGCAACGTCCCCCCTATAAGGTAGGTTAACCTGAAGGGGAAACAACCAGCCTGCTCTTGAGTTAGACGTCTGGCCATGCCCGTTGACGGGCTTGTGGCACAAGTCCTCTGAACGAAGATTTTTTGTCCGACCCGTCCCCAGCAGCCTCCGTCAAAGCCTACCCAGCCACCAGAGAGCCCTGCTCCAGGGTGTACCACCTTAAGGACCCACATCATGGGTGGTGATGGTGGTGGGGATTTTTTTTCTGATCTTTTTGGTTGCCGCCTGAGCCCCTGGATCATCTCCAGGGCAGAAATGGAGGAGGCGATTCCCTTGTCCTTCATTCACAATTTTTTAAAGAGAGCATGAAAGACCGTCTTGTTTCTTCCCGGGAAACAGCCTTCTACTAAACCAGACTTTTGGACACCTGAGCCTAGGTGAGTCTGGGAGCGTCTTCTCCACAGTTCCGGTCCAGGGTCTTTCTCGACCCGGCTCCCTTGAGACTCCTTTTATGTTGGTATTTAAGAGCTGAATGGGTTCTGTGCGGCAGTTCCAGCCATCCTTCTGCCACCTCTAGGATTCCTTTGAGGCAGGCAGGGAAAGAGAAAAGGAAGACTTAGCTAAACGGACGACAAGAAGACTACGGGGAGTCGTGAGAGCCGTCTTCCAAGATCTGAAGGGTTGCCCCAGGGAAGAAGGCATCGATTGATTCTCCATGACGCCCAAGGGTAGGGCGAGAACCCACAGGTGGAAACTCGTCAGAGGGAGATCCAGCCGGGAAATAAGGAGGAACTTCCTGTCGGTGTGAACCATCAAGCAGTGGAACAGCTTGCCACCCGATGGGGAGAGTGCCCCATCGCTAGAGGTTTTCAAGAAAAGATTGGGCAGCCATCAGTCCGGGATGCTCTGAGGTCTTGGTTGGACTAGAAGTGTCCTCCCTTCCACCCCTGTGATGATTCTCTGTGATTTGAGGCTTCCCTGTTCTGGGGTGGGCTTGGTGGCGTGCTTCATCTAAACGGGATTCTCACCCTTTCTCTTCAGGGAGTCCCGGAGGGCATAACCGGGCGGGTACCTTGATCTCGGCCGATCGAGCAAAGCAGATGTTTGGACCGCCTGTGATCACAGTAAGTAAGAGGGGGGGGGGGAAGAAAATCAGAACAACTGTAGGTATGATTAAATGATTGCTACCATGACTATCATTTTGGAATGTTGCTGTGAAACTCCCAGAATCCCTAGCTGTTCTTCTGGTTGGGGGATTCTGGGAGTTGTAGTCCAAAGGAGTCCAAGTTCTGCCCCCAGCACCCAGGCAGCGTTCCATCTCCAACCTTCCCACGGAAGGTGGCTTCCGGTTCCGTTCAAACAATAACATGGCTACTCACGGTTACTTATCTTAAACACTGTCAGGTTAGAAATATTTTAAACAGATAAAAAAGTCTTGCCTTTAAGAGGATCTCCTACGACCCAGGGATGCCATTGAAAGACAAATTAATGTTTTGAGGCATGAAACAGAAGACCACCTTTCTTTCTAACAGTAAATAATAAATAACAAAAATGAACGGGCACGTCCATCCAAGTTGCAATGCAAGAGGAGACTCCGGTCTGAGGCTGTGCAGTAGAGTGTGCACTTTATTCCAGATTAATAGCCGGATGCATTTCGACGTAGCTTTTTCAACCTTCTTTAAGGGCTGTATTGTATGCAACAAACCAGAAAAAAAAACATTTATAACATCATTTTTTTTCCCTAGGGACAACCTTTTAAGCATACAGTAATTTATAACTGAAATCATATACAGTATATGTAAATATATTCATTTGACTAGAGGCTGTACAATATGATGATGTAACAGAATGAGATGCTTAAAAGGTGGTCCCTAGAAGTTTCGTTTGTTTGTTTGCTATTTTGATTCACACAACGTAGCCCTTGAAAAGGCTGAAACGTGTCGGGCTTCCCATTTGGAACAAGATGCACACTCTAATGTTGACATCCCTGGGCCAGAGTCCCTTCTTGCCGTCATATTGACCCTATGGCTGCGGCTGCTGTTTCTCCCTTCCAGACGCGTCACTTTGCCACCCAGCCGGCTTTCCCCGCTGGCACCCCTGAACACGGGCAGTATCAGGGCAGCCAGTCCGGACACAGCCCTTACGCCGTGGGCCAGAGCCAGCACACGGTGCCTGTGAGCTACGCCAGCAGCCAGTCCATCCGAGGTAAGGAGGAGGGAGGCGGGGTTCGGGTGATGGGCAAGAAAGTAGGCGTCCCCCTAACGCGCCAGGGGGAGAGCAGGCGAAGTCCCCTTGCCCGGGTCCCTCGAGTGGGGAGCAGACAGGAGAGAGGAGAAGGAGATCCATCTCGCTCCTCTTTTTTCCCCCAGGTCCTTCGGCTTTCCCAACCATGCAGTACCTATCCCAACAGCAGCCGGGTTACAGCATCCACGGCCACTTCCCCACCGCCCAGCCAGGTAAGTCCACTTCGAAGCACCTGCTTGGAGAAGCCAAGGCAGTGGGAAGCGTCCCCTGCTCCCGTCAACAGCCGTGTCTTCCTCGACCAGCCCAAACTCTGGGGCCCCCCTCTCTTCTCTGAATCCTGGTAAAGACGGAAACCCCCCTTGCCTTTAGCAGGTTCATTGTGAAAAGTCTAACTGAACAATATTTTTTATTTATTTATTCCTTGAACTTGTACGCCACCCATTAAGACATAGTTTACTAAAAAAAAAAAAATAGGCTTTTTGCCGCGCTGTGTCCGTAGCATAATGTTATCACAAGATAATAAATAGCATCCAAACATTTTGAAGAGATTCGGTGCTCACCCTGGTTTGCTGTTTTCTATTTTAAAGGTTCCCCTTGACAATTTTTTTTGTCCAGTCGTGTTCGACTCTAGGGGGCGGTGCTCATCCCCGTTTCCAAGCCACAGAGCCAGCAATTTTTGTCCGAAGACAATCTTCCGTGGTCACCTGGCCAGTGCGACTGAAACACGGAACGCTGTTACCTTCCCACCAATGTGGTCCCTATTTATCGACTCGCATTTTTACATGCTTTCAAACCGCTAGGTTGGCGGGAGCTGGGACAAGCGACAGGCGCTCACTCTGTCGCGTGGATTCGATCTTACGACTGCTTGGTCTTCTGATCCTGCAGCACAGGCTTCTGCGGTTTTAGCCTGCAGCGCCACCACGTCCCTCCTTCTATTCTATGCTTCGTTAATTTCCTGTATTAACAAAGAATTACAAGACAGGCGACTTTTAAGCAGTATTTATTTCATTCGGTTTTTAACCCACCCATCTATTTATCGGTCAGTACAGAATAAGAAATAGACGTACATTAAGACAGGGGAGAGGTTCCAAGCCATGGATGCTGAAAACCATGGATGATCATGAATGCTATTATAATGGTTAACACGATACATAGCGTGGTCTCTGGCTGCCTCTAGTTCTTGTAATTTCCTTGTTAGAAATAATATATTTCCAGGAATTTTTGTTTTAATAGTTTCAGACCGTGGATAAGCGAATGAGCAGATAGTGATCCTGTGGATACTAGACGCTAACTGTACAATTGAACAATAAAGGGGGAAAAAAGGGGACGACATCAGGAGAACCCGCCCCTCCCTAGCCTTAGGGTGGCTGCCTCTAGTTCTTGTAATTTCCTTGTTAGAAATAATATATTTCCAGGAATTTTTGTTTTAATAGTTTCAGACCGTGGATAAGCGAATGAGCAGATAGTGATCCTGTGGATACTAGACGCTAACTGTACAATTGAACAATAAAGGGGGAAAAAAGGGGACGACATCAGGAGAACCCGCCCCTCCCTAGCCTTAGGGGCAACGGCCCCTCTCAGCTTCCAGTGGCCTAGCTAGGGTGCAGCTGAAGGTGTGACCGTGGATAAGCGAATGAGCAGATAGCGATCCGGTGGATACTAGAGTCTGACTGTACAATTGAACAATAAAGGGGGGGGAAGGGGACAACATCAAGAGAACCCGCCCCTCCCTAGCCTTAGGCGCAACGGCCCCTCTCAGCTTCCAGTGGCCTAGCTAGGGTGCAGCTGAGTTGAAGGTGTGTGTGGAGCTGGGGGCTGTCCTGCTTTCTCCAGAAATGGGGGCACCTGGTATGCCAGATATGGCCAGGCCGGGGCACCCCCACTCCACAGCTGATTCCCCCCCCCGGGCCATCCAGGAGTCAGGGTGAGTCCAGACCGAGAGCACAGAAAGGTTGCTTTTCTAGTCTGCATCCTCAGGAAACACCCCCCCCGGCCACCCGGGCCCAACGGCGTGATCAGAAAAGTCCATTTCCCAAACTTGGGTGCAGAAGCAGACACACAGGTCACCGTTGCCCGCCTGGTTCTCCCGAGGAGGTGTCGCCCCCTTCCTCAAAGAAACCGCTTTTCTCTCGTTCCAGATCAGCTTCCGTCTCATCGGGATTAATCCTAGAATGCTGGCGTTGGAGGAGCCTCTAAGGCAGGCCCTTGAGTCCAGCCCAAAGCAGATCTGGCCCTTCCTTTTTCTCCTTAATGCCTCTCCAGTGTTGCAGCACTCCCCACCTCCCAAGGTCGTGGGTCCCGTTGTCCTGATACTCAGCCTAAATCTATTTTCCTGTCGCTTGAGCCCGTTGTTTTGTGTCCTGCACTCTGGGATGACCGATAACACATCCTGCCCCTCCTCTGGAGGATTTCCTTTCAAGTCTTTGAAAAGCCCTGTCGGGGGATCTTACCCATCGTCACCATGCCCTTCCGTTCAGTCAAAATACCGTTAAGGTGCTTACTTCAGAAATGCCAGGTTTGTTGAAAGATTTGGCCTAGATGGCAGAAGGAACTGGGCCAATGGATCTTGTAACTCCGTGCCCTCTGTATCTCAGATAGTTGGCAGGGGAGGATGTTCAGTATGTTATGACTTTCAAGTTTCAGTGTTCTAACATGAATCTCTCCCCCCCCCCGAGTTTTGAGAAATAACGGCCCAGCTTTCACTCTGTTGCAACTTCTTTTTCCTAAGGAAGCTTGGGAATTCTCGGTGGCCGTCTGTCATTCTTGGCCTCTGCTCCAAACGATGGTTCCCAGAAGTCACGGCATGGAGCCATTCAGCTATGCCGTATAAATTGATAGTCCCAATGCATGATCCTCACCCCACCCCCTTTTCCTAGCACAGCAGGTCTTTACTTTTAAAAAGTAATCTCATAGTAAATATTCCAGGAGCATTCTTGTAAGCCCTACCTTACGTCGCGTTGTAGCCCCAAGTTAAGGGTTTGGACTCCGTAGCTGAAGACCAGCGTGTGAAATTGGTGCAGTCGTTCAGAATGAATGGATTTCTCTCCATTTACTGTAACTTGGAAGTGCAGCGAGGTTATGCACGCGAGCCCGTAGCCTTCTTGCAAAGTGATCTTAGCAGATTTGCCGCCTTAACCACCAGGAACTCCCCTGTGAAACCAAAAAATGATCCCCGAGAGAGAAACATAAAAAGGGAGAGAATTCATCTGAAATAGCTGCTGAATGTTGACCTCGCCTGCCCCAACCCTCCAAAAAATGGGAAGGGAAATGAAACGTAAGATTTCTGTGCTTTTCCTTTGCACTTGGTTTCTCTCTCTCTTTTTTTTAAACTGTGCTTTCCCTTACTGGTCTTTGTGCTCCTCCTTCTAGGCTTCATCCCCCCGAGCACCACCATCCCTTTGCAAAAACAACTGGAGCACGCTAACCAGCAGTCAGGATTCACCGACTCGGTGAGTTCACAGCCACTTCATTGATTTATATTGAATTTGCACTTAATAATTGCCCCTTAATATGTAATGCTGTTCCTAAATTTTCGCCGATCTCGTTGGTCATGATAAACGAATCTGTGGCCCCGTACTTAAAATATTTCAACCTGAGAGTCCTCGAATCCTTTGCAGCACAGTTCCAAGGAAGGGGCCTTGCCCGTTCACTGAAGCAGCTGCTGACGGAAACAGCCAAACCCGACCAAGGAATACCTCTGGGAAGCTGAGGGCCGGAGACAGTCCTCTTCTTCTTCTTCTTCTTCCGCCAGCCTGTCCAAAGCCTCCTGGAAATTTAGAGCGTGGGAAAGTTGCTTCCTTTGGAGGGTGGCCACTTGCTGATTCCTGTAGCCAGCATCCCACTCGTGCAGTTGCAATTCAGACAAGAACTTTGGGAGAGCTCGGGGGGTATCGGAGGTCTCCGGCTGTGGAGCCAGAGGTTGGGAGTTCAGTCCCCCCCCCCCCGTGTTGGACAACGGCTGGACTCCATGATCTATCAAGGCCCCTTCCACTGCTCGGCCGTTCCAAGATTATTATTGTCCTTAAGACTAAGTCCGTTTTAAAGCCGCTCTCGTTTTCTGTGTGAGAACTATCAGGTGGTGGTGGGGAGAGATTTTGTGTGGAAGGAAAGGTTTGCTCGTAACCCACCGGTAGGGTACTTTTGGAAAACCCCGTTAGACCACCTTAAGCTCTCCCTGGGCATAAAAATATTTGAACCATGTTGAATATAAAGAACAACAACAACAAAAAGACCCTTCTCCAGAGGCAACTGAAGAAGCGGGCTGTGGGTTTCGTTTGTCTTTTGCCCCGTCTTGTTTTTATTCCTTTTATTGTATTTGCCGAAGACGTGCAGTTCCTTCTTGGAGACTTTTTGTCTTCTGTGGTTTTAATGGCTTGTTTTTTACACAGAAGGTTAAGCACCCTGTGTTCCTCAAGGGAAAGGGCGGAAATAAATCAAACCCATCAATAACAAACGTCAGTTTAGATATTCCTGATTAAAAGTGCCTTGGGATCCAAAATCCATGGCGTGGAAATGAATTCCCCCTTTTTCCCCTTCTTCTCAGCCTCCTTGTTTTCTCAGATAGGCTGGGGGGGGGTTAACCAAAGCTTTTCCCTCGCCCTTTGAAGCATGACGCAGTTGGGGAAGCAGCAAAGCATGGGTGCTTTCAAACTCTGCTCTCTTCTTCTTGCTCCCCAGTCCACCCTTCGTCCGATGCACCCCCAGGCGCTGCACCCCAATCAGGGGCTCCTGCAAGCCCCCCAGATCCCTGTGCAGATGCAGACGGCGACCAAGGTAAGTTTGAAAGCCCTCTCCCTTTTTTCTGCTTTCCCCCTTCTCGGCTCTTCCTAATCATGCGCCTTTCTCAGACAGAGTTTGCCTTCCAATTTTTTAAAAGTTTCCACCTTGTTATTTGGCAAAATTCTGTTTCCATTTGCTCGTATCAACGGCAGCAAACCGCTACAAGCAACAGTCATTCTGCACCCTCTCTGCCTCAATTCTTGGGGTTTTTCCCCCCTGCTTGTTGATTTGGGGGTTTTCGACCCTCCTTCCCTTTCTCCCCCCCCTCCGCTGCAGCCCAGTTTGGCCTACACCCACCCCGCACGGCCGGCTTCCCCAGGCAGCTTCTCGCACGGAACCGCTCCCCAGCAGCCCCACACGGTAAGTCTTTCCCTGGGTGGAAGGCAGGTCTCCGTCATCTAAAACATGGGTCAGCCTTGGTATGGAAATGCCCTGGGGGCTCCAAACGGGTGTGAATTTCCTCACTGCTGTATAATTTAATATTTGCAAAGGTTTCTTGAGAAGGTGAGCTTGACTTCTGTCTTCAGAAAACAGTGGGCAAGGACAGGGGGAAAAAAAGATTTTCCTCTCACTTCTTCAGAGGGAAGTTCGACCAACCCATCATCCCTATTCCCTGGGATTTTTACCTTTGTTTACTTTCATTTAAAGCAAAACCAGAGAAAGATCCAGTCCATCCCGAGGGAGGCTTCGGAGCGTTTAGGATTCTCTCACCAGCCACGTTGAAAGCCAAAGCCTAGACAATTCTTTCACGGGCTTCATCATCTGCTTAAGGGAGACTAGAAAAACTACAGTCTTGGGTGCCTGTTGAAAAGTGAGCAATGGCAGGCGGGGGGGGCACGGGGGGGATTGCTCTAAGAGAGGTCTTGTTGAGGAAAAACTCTTTTAAGAGAAGCGGGGAGAGATTCACAGGCTGATGCCAAGAACTGCTTCTTTCTCTGCTGGATGGGAGATCTGTAGAGAGGGATTCCCCAGGTAGGGGTAGAGAAAAGGATCCTGCCTGAAAATCTGCAGAAAGCTGCCAGTTGGAGTTGGCGACCCCGAAGTTAGGACCAGCCATCCATACGAGGTAGGATCCTTGTTAGGCCAGCAGGGACCTGCACCCCTCTGGCGGTGCCTGCAGAAGGATAATTCCCTTTACCCTGCGACTGAAAGAGGATCCGTCGTGTCCAGGGTGGAGTGGGGTGTGTGTGCTCGGATGCAGATTTCCCCTGCCTTAATCCTTTTCTCGTTTGCAGTCTGGATTCCAGGCTTCTCCCCAGGCAGCCCCTCGGCACCCCTTCATACAGCACCCTCAGGGGCAACGTTTCTACCACAAGTGAGTCACCTGCGCTCGGCCCAGCATTTGTGCCAGCCACCCCTGTGGCCAGCGTGAATGGAGATCAGCTGTACTGAAGGACTGTCTCTCTCGCTTTATTCCCCTTGCCGAAATACAAGTTTTGTGAAAACGGATTGCACTGCAAATACACTTTGCATTGTTCATTTTGAACAGGGCTGCTGGTGGTAGTGGTTTTTTCCCCCTCTTCCCCCCCCCCATCAACGTGGCATCCGGTAGCAACTGAGAGGGGGCCTGGGGAGACGGTGGGGCAGCAGTCTGCCTCCTTGGCTTCCTGCACCCTGCAAGAAGTCCACACACAAAAAAAGCCACCATTTGGCCGTGGAATTGGGGCACGGGAGAGAGGGGGGCAGAAGTGCTTGCCTGTAAACATTTCCAGGGGAACAAAGAGGTACCCCCCCACAACCGATGGGATGAGAGTGCTGTGCTTAAAATGCTTTGCAGATCAGCAGCCGTTGGTCTCAAAGTTCTTTCCTGTGGACGCCACCCACCCCCCACCCCCCGAGCCCGGCTTCGGTGAAAGCCAGTACTGGGAGAACCGGTGGGTGTTGGAACAGCAGGCAGTCATACAACCTTTTAACCTGGGTGCAGATTGATGCCCTGTTCCAGGCAAAACACTGCAGGTATTCAGGGGACAGGAAGCATTTTGTGTGGGTCCCGCTAGCTCTAAATGCTAGTTTTTGGGAAGAGAGCCGCCCCGAGGACTGATTTCTTTCCAAGAGCCTCAGTAGGGACACAGCACTCGCCAGATCCCTGTGTGGCTCAGATTAGCTGGAGGTCAAAAAAGCTTCCAGCTTAACTCTGAAAAACTTTGTTTAAAAACACCCTGCAAAGGTGCTCGTACTTTAATTTCAGGCTTGCTCAGTGGAAACTGCCAACGACCGAGGTCCTCTCTGAGCATCCGATTAAACATTATTTTCTGAACTAGCTTGGCAGGTCTGTTTTCCTACTAAGCAAGGCACAAGAAACTTTGTGCTAAGGGATTTGACTTGCCTATGTCCTGGAATGGGAACTTCCGGCATGTCATGATTTTCATTTACACTCATCTACTGAAAAATAGGGCAGCTTCCTGAAGTCTGCACCCCAACTGGCCCAGGACAGAATTAGCCCAGCCACATGGAAAAAGCTCTGCTTTACGTGGCACCTGTGGAATGCTATGGGAGCTGTTAATAAAGAAACACAGCATTTCTTTCCTGGCGAGCATAATTCTGTTCAGCTTTATCCAGTGGAACAGCCACAGCTCCACAGAATAACCCTAGAGATGGACCACAGCCTCCCAGTTTGTTTTTTCATCCAAAGGGGTGGTTGGGGATCCCCAGGCAGGCGCCCACTGGAGGCAGTGCCTCTCCAGGCAGGCACGGCCGGGTTGGGAACCGCCAAGCACCAAACTGCCCGTTTTTCCCCTCATCTCTGATAACCCACAAGTTGATAGCAGAGATGGGCATCCTCTTCACCCACCTCCACAAACGTCCAAGTTGCTCTGAAACACTGCTGCCTCTCTTACAAATGACACGACCAGAGATAGGTTTTCATATTAAACTTGTTTTTATTGAGGTTGATTAACAAATGTGTTGGATTAACAGGGGAGGAAGGGAGGGACGGGAGGAAGAAGAGGCCACAGCGCTGACCTGTGAACAGCAGAGGAAGAGTAAATATGAACCAAGGAAACAGTTTGGGGTGCTAGTTGGTTACCCCAGAAGATCCCTACCTTGGGTGGGGATACAGTGACCCAGCATGAAGGGCTCAGAAGAGGGGGTCGGGCGCTAGATTGGAGCGCCCCCGGATGAAGGGCTGGGAGGCAGCGACAGCACTAGAAGGGGGGGGAGCGGAGAGGGAGGAAATGGAACATGATTGACAGAGCCCAGAGGGGCGGGGGGCCCAAAGGGTGCGCTTGACCAGACAACCACGAGCCATTCTGCCCTTGCTTTGAGAGTGCGCGCACGCTATGCTCCACAGCTGGCAGGGGCCTCCCCAGCGCCACGGCTTTCAGAGAGAGGGGAGGGGCTCGTGCTCTAGAAGGGATTTGAGGAGGGGGGGTTAAGCAAGCTCAGCCACCAGAGCAGTGATCCCCAAAAGAAACACGTAGAATGGGGAACCTCCAAGCGCAGGGAAAGATGCCGTCCAAAGAGAACTGACCCGACTACCACAACCGCCAATGAGAGGAGGGGGGGAACAGCATCCCAAAGGGAGGGGACGGGAAAGCCACGCTTCCCCCCTCCCACCAGCCTTCGACAGAAATGCTCACGAGAACAGACACGTCGGAAAAGGGTTAAGAATGCGACTTCGCAATGGGGTTTTGCTCACTTCGTTGTTCCTGAAAAAGGGGCCGTTCCCTCCCCCCCCCAACGGCACCACCTCTATATAAGAAGCATTAAAACTAAAAAATTAAAAAAATTAAACACGACTCTTTTGCAATGTTTTTTTTCTTCCTCCTTCTAGCAGTTTAAATATTTTCCTTTAAGTGCAAATTCTCAACTTCTCTTGCCAGAAAACAGCTGTAGTGTTACTAGCACCCGAGAGGTGGGGAGGGGGAGGGAACCAAACAAGAAAATAATGATGAAGGAATACATCAGCATCCAGCTTTCTCTTTAAAAAGACCACAAAATAAAAAGTTTCTTTTCTTTTGTTTAATTCAAAAGGGAGGGTGGGTGGATTTTGCTTTTCTTTTCTTTTTTTTAAGGAAGGGAGAGAGAGAAAAAAAAAGATTTGGGTGGTTTGGAGCCAAATCTGACAGCCTGCGGGTTGCGTTCCTCTCTGGTTCATAACAAGTTGGAGCTGCTGCTGCTGCTGCTGCCCTGCAAAAAGGGAGAAAGAGCAAGGGGTTGTGGTTAAAAGCGGCCATCTTGGCGCTCCCAGGGAGGAGAGAGGTGGGGGAAAGCAACAAAAGCACTTGCTGCTTTTCCCAAGCCTGGCTCGTTTCTCCAGACCTCCAACGCGAAGCTAGGGCTCCTCTTCTTCCCCAGCTCACTCCTGGTTCTCCGGGACTCACCTGTAGTTCCTTTATTTAGCCATGGCCTTGATAGCAACAGCAGCCTCCTCGGTCATTGCAGACAGTACGGTGATCTACAGGAGAAAAGGAGGGTCGGAGGGTCACAGCCTTATCGCTGAGAGAGTCACAGGCCTCCAAAGCCAGCAAAGGCCGGTGGTGCAGGTGGGCGGATCGGCACACCCAGACAGGTCTCCCTGTCCAACCGACACGCTCCGATCAGGATCCAAAGCTCTTCCCCAGGTCCCTATACTATTTCCACCTTGGACAAGGCCTTCTCTATTGTGGCCCTTGGGACCCTGGAAGTGCCCCCCTCTCCCCCTGCCCAAAGCCTACGGGTCTCACTGCGGTTAGCTGTTTTGCTCGAGGGGCGGGGGAGACACAGAACAATTCTGGTACTTAGAGGGTGCCTGTCAATAAATGGACACAGGCTCATTGGTGGGTTGTTGAAGGGTCTGGGTATTCACATCGCCCCTTGGGCCTCCGTAGAGAGGGGGGCCAGCGTGGCTGATTGGGGGGGGAAGTGCCCTGCCACCTGCATGGCCTTGGACAGAGAGCCTTGTGGTCCCACCAACATGTCACAAGAACGAAGGAGGATCTGGAAATCACTTCTGAGGACTTTATTACCTGGAAAAACACTGCAAGGTGCTGAGGTAGATCAGAACCTACTTGATAGGGCAGTTAAATAAGGATGAACTAAATATTTCTGCTGCTTAGTTTCTCATGTGGTATTTGTGTATTTGGCTCAGTTTCACCTTGTTTCAAATTTGCTTTTCAATTTTTAATTCATTTACTCCAAATACCTTGGGGGAAACCCAGCATCTACACGCAACAACTGTGGAAGGGGTGGGGTGGGGGGTCCCCGAGTGCTTGAGAACTGAGCCTTTTTACCAGGATTTCTTCGCCACAGTCGTATTTCTGTTCAATCTCCTTGCCCAGATCTCCCTCGGGAAGGCGCAGATCCTCTCGGACTTCCCCGCTGTCCTGGAGCAGTGAGAGGTACCCGTCCTGGATCCCAATAAGCTGATGGGAAAATTCAGAGAGGAGAACGGTAAGCCTGGAGCCACCTGAGCCCCTGCCTCTCCTCTCCCCTCAAACAAAGGCAACCCACGCCTCCTTCCCGCCCTGCTTCCGCTTGGGAACTCTGCACGAGGGGGTCAGACAAAACTCCCCAAGATAGGCTTGGCTTCCTATGTCGACATCCAGTTGAATTCAAGGAGTAGAAGGTGCCGCCTGCACCCACTCCCAAGGTTCCTCTCTACCCTGTCCAGCCGTGGGGAGGTGCATGGCAGCTTTCTCTCCCACTGCCTTTGCAGGCTGCACTCCCCCCCCAACTACCCCACATTTCTAACAGCAGAAGATCTGAACACAGAAACCCAACCGAACGAAGGGACCTCCATCCAGTCACGAAAGCAGAGGCAGGCAGCGGTTAAGAGGCCCACGTAGGCAGATACAGGTGAACCACGAAACAGAGGGAAAGAGTGGCTAAAAAGAGGCCTCCGCAGCTTGCCACTCTGTCTTCTTGGCCCAGCGCCACAGAGGGCAGCAACGGCAGTCCCCGGCTCTGGTCAAACCACCTGCTTAGAAGCTACGGATGCCATGATGGCTGCTCTGCCCCCAACTGACAAGGCTATTCCCCCACCACACTGAGCTAGCAAGGCAAAACTGCCAGCCCCAGCTCTCATGTTTCCTTTCTCTGAGAAGAGGAAAACCTGGGCAGGGAGCCACCGAACCCCAACGCCATCCACTCACCTGGAAGTCATTTCTCTTTATGTTGGGCACATCCATGTTGTGGGTAGAAGGGCAAATATCTTCATATTTTTTCCCAGTGAAGATGTCAATGCCGACAAGATGCACCTAAAAGGGTGGAAAGAAGGGGGAGGGAAGAGGGCAAGGGTTACACACACACACACACACCCCTACGTCTACAAAGCATGGCCTTGAAAGCATGAAAGGGAAGAAGGGGGGGGTCGCCTGCAAAAGAAAGCCAGCCGCCGCTCACTGCCTTTCTTGGCCCCCAGGACCTTGTTCAGGGACTGACCAGCTGTTCCCCATTGTGAAAGGTTCCAACTCACACAACCCCACAGCCAGACATGAAGGAGTTGTAGTCCAATGTATGTGGGCAAAGCTGTTCTTTTAGCTTTGGCCTGGCCAGGGGGCATTTAAAGCACACACACACACCATGGCAGCAACTGAGGCAAACACTCTTCTCTATCTCCAAGCCAAAATATGTTCTGGCTTGCACCTGGTGACATCCAGTGCCTTTCCCGCCCCTGTACCAGCTTATCTACCTCCTCTGGGCTTGCGTTCCTTGGTACCTCCGGTCTCCTTGCCAAGCCACCAGGCTTCTCAGCCGGGTTTTCCACCTCCTTCTGCTACTCCTTGTTTCTTCCTGAACTCTCAAACACCCGCCCACAATGCCCCACTCGCTTTAAAAGGGAAATACCAATGGCTGCCTTGTGCCTCCCTCCCTCAACTGGTAGCGATCCACAGCTGGAAGAAAGGAGATCCCAGTACGAGAAGGTCTCAACGCCCCTCACCAGGCCCAAGCACAACAAGGCCAGTTTGCAGAAATGCCGCTGAAGAGCTTGTACATGGAGTCTCCAGAAGAGAGGGAACGCTTTGGGAACCACTATGGGTACAATTTCACAGTGCGCTGAAGGCAGAAGAATGGAGTCTCCTGGCTCATCTCAGGATGAGGTGCAGAAGGCGGCCTCCAAACGCTCAGCCTGGGCGGGCAAAATCTTGTGGAGGCATCAGCCCACTTCAGAGTATATTTGAAGAAGGTGGGGGACAGAGAAGCCAGGGACCCTATCCAATTCATCCACACCCCCTTTACTGAATGAATTTGATGGAAGGTGATTAAACATCTACCATGGATTGTACTTTTGACAGAAAGGGTGGAAACCCCTAGCCTCACAGGAATTACTGCACCACATGCTTCTCGAGAGGCATAGCAAATTCAGCTCCAGTCTCCAAACTTGAAGCACTCTTAGTCCAGAGACACTCCTGAAGCGGAATTCAACCCAAAACAGGTCTTTCTGTGCAGCACAGGCCTCCCTCCTTTCCTCAAGTTTGGCGCCACGATGACTCCTCAAAGGATAACACGGCGAGATGGCTCTGCGTGTTCATTACCACCACCACTCCCCATAAAGAGATCAAAGCTGCGAGAAGTGCTTTCCTGTATCTCTCCCACAGACGCCAAAGAGCAGAAGTCATTTTATGGAACAAGCTATGGTCTGGAAAGATATCCCAAGATACAGGGAGACTAAATGGCAGCATGCCCCGGAGATCAGGTGGCTGAAGCGTCCAGAGCTGGCCACAAACTGGCAGGGACAGCAACAGCTGGAGGAAAAGGGTGCTGGGGCAAGAAGAGGTTCGGAAGAAACCTCAGTTAGCTGTTTTACTACTCTATCCAAGGTCAGAATAGGTCTGAAGGCAGGGAAGAAACAAAAATGCTATGATTCCACCAAAAGCCTCATTTCTGGGCATTTCAGGCTGCAAAGCCCTTTTTGAGAGAACTGACAGAAAGGACACAGACAGCTGGAACAAACTGCAAATGGGATTGTACAAGATAATGCAGTGCAGACTGCTTCTGTTCTGGGTCCTCTGCCCCAATCTATTTATTTTCTTTGGTACCACCCCAACTTCCTGCCCCCACTCGACCCCAGCAGTCTCCATGTCACAGTTGCTGAGCCTGCTCCATCAACCTGGGCCCCTTCTGAGGAACAGGCACACCTGTGCCTCAACACACCAACAGGGCAATCTTAACTGAAGTCTATGGGCATCTCTTGTCTCTGTCTGAGAGCATTTTAGAACGGCTCCTTAGATTGAGCTAGGACTACTCAAACTAGTTAAAGGTTCGCTCCTTTCTCCTTTTAAAAAAACCACTCCATTCAAATTCCTTCCTCTGTGGCTGTTCATTTTTCTTGTCCAATCTGCATCATTAAGTCCACGTGAAGTGGAAGAAGCGTGCTCTGAAGATTTCTCAAGTATGAGCAAAGATTTTAAAAAATCTACTGAAACCTCTCTTGGGTGTGTGTGTGGAGAGGTGAGTGCTGTTTGGGCTGCAGCTGCATGAGCAGAGAAAACACAAATTAAAAATAAAGGGAAATATTACAACTAAGACACTACATGGGAAGAGAACTGGGTTTGTAAACAGAATCCTGCCCCTTGACACTTTACACCATTCTTGCAGCCCTTTCGTGACAAGAGGGTCATAACGGGAAAAGTTAGGAGCTGAATTTTATGCACGGATCTGAAATTTAAAAATCGCTCCTACAATCCACTAAGAACTCTGCAGGAGGGCACTATGACCCTGCTTTCAAGAATCCAGCCAGGCAAAAGGTTCAAGCCACACACAAAAAACTTCCAAACTAATTCTCAAATGCCTCAGGCAGGTATAGATAAGTGACCAGCTCCTCCGATGGACGAAGTAAGAGGCAACATTCACAAACTAAGGGTAGGCAGGAATGAGTGACACACAATTCATACACAATCGAGGATTGTCACACTGAAGGAGGGAGCTCACTGAAGCAAAACCAGCTGAAGGAAGGCAAAGGGCCTGGCACACTTACTTTGGCATGACCGTGCTTGCCGGTCTTGGAAGTGGACATCTCCACAATCTTGCAGGGACGCCCTTTGAGCACCACAAAACCGTTCTTGCGGAGAGCGGAGCACTGCATAGGGAAGGTGGCGGAGGCCCCGGCATCCCCGGTCTCGAAGTCTAGGTCATCAGCCATGGTGGATCAGATGTTACAGAAACTGCTGAGGGAGGGGGAGAAGAAAAGAAGAAAACTCGTCTCAGGCACGGTGGCCTCCTGGCAAGAGAGCCAAGCTGGAGCTGCTGGAACACCTCTCGAGTTCCCCAATTCCCACTAGCAGCCCGGTAGGATATAGGCTCCTTTTACCAAGATCATACTACGTATGTAGAAAACTGGGTAGGGTGCAGGGATGGGGAGTTGTTTGTGCCAGATATTGTTAAAATATCCTGTGACAATGAATCTCGCAATTTAATGTTACATTGTGTGAAAGCACGTCCGCGAACCAAATCTGCATCAGGCAATTAATTCTGTTACAGTTTTAGAAGAGGTCGCCGTGTGGATTTGTGCTGGTATGTCAGGCAAAAACAAAAACATAGGGGAAAAAAGAAGACAAAAAATGTGGCCCCTTAAAGACTAACTGCTGCATCTTAAGGTGAGCTTTCATGGACACAAAATTTGTGACACCCACATTTTTGTCTTATTTATTTTTAAATTTAATTAAACAAGCTTTTTTTTGGTAAGCAACTCTTAGCACGTCCATGGCGACACGGCTTTATGCGACTGGGCAATGGTAGGCCGTCTGAGATAGACCTTATGCTCACTATAAAAACCAAGGCCTCATCATGGCCCCGGAAATCCATCACTCTAGCAGCAGAAAGGAGAAGTCAAGGAGCCCACAGATTGGCCAGGATTTTCTATCCAATAATCAGAAGACGTAATACTAACACCACTGTTAATCCGGCAATATTTTCTGTATTGGGCAAGGCTGGCTTTAAGAAGACCATGCCTTCTTCCAGCATGACTACCAACCTAGTCAAATTCTCAACAGAAACACAGGTTTAAGGGTCTCACATTGATTCATGCCAAGCTCACAATCCAGGACCTTTGGAGACCACAATGTCCATGGATCTTGCAATTGCTTTCCCCAGGCATATAGTCCTTGGCTAGTCTAGGTTTTTAGGATTTTATTCTCTGTAATAACTGGCCCAAGAGCTAATCAGCGTATCAACCCAGTATTTCACCAGTATATTCTGCTCTACAGGCGGGGATCACATTCAAGGAACAGACCATTCTGTAAACAACTTTCCAAAAAACTGAAGCCAGCCAAGGGTGGGGGAGTTCAAGCAATTCACCGGGTTGCCTTAAATATTCAAGAAGGACAAGAGCACACTCTGCAACTTCACCCTCATTAACTGCTGCAGTGTTTCTCCAAACGAATTTCACCCTCAAGCCTGGAATTTATATTGTTCTGCCGCAAGGCAGCTGTGGTGGCAAGGAGGAAGAAGAGGATTTTATTTTAAAGAAAGCATAGCAACTTATGATTGAGACTCAGGAGGCCTCAGTTCTAATCTCCAACAAGCCAAGGAAACTGACTGGGGATGCAGAATTTAACAGGTCCTAAGTATGTACTCCAGGCAGAATATAGAAATCTCCAACAGCAGCCCAATATGATTATGTCACGTATCCAATCCCTGCTGGGGAACATACCTACACTTTGAAAAAAAAGAATGAAAAAAGTACATACACCCTTTTTTCTCCCCAAAGGGCCCCTTCGGATGGATTGATTTACACGCTGAGCGCATTTCTTCACGAGGCCTTGAGACCCCTGACAAAGACCGGGCCATGTCTTATTTCATGCAAACACATGGCTCCAAGTGATCTGGAACTCTTTCCACCTTACATCAGATCTGGAAAAACTAGATTAGATTCCAGAGGAGGTGCTGCAGGCTCACCCTAGCGTTAAGACAACGCAGAGGCAGGCGGAGAGGGCAGCGGACAGAATCCCCGCTACCAGCTGCTACCTTGCCCCTGCTTGGCACTCCAACGGAGACGGAGCAAGGTGGTTCATTTACCTCTCCAGAGATTGCCTGAGCTCATTTTAGTTTCAGCGGTCCTTCCACCCCATCTCCAAAGGCCTCTGGAAACCTGCACTGCCCTCCGATAATTGATTAGAACAACTGTTTGCTGTAACAGCTCGGGCAGAATGACAGGTCTTTCAGAGACGGCAGCGGCGAAGGCCATGCCTCTCCCAAGCACCCCGACCAAGTGCTTCCGATTTTGTCTGCAGCAAAGGGGCCAACCGACCGGTGGGAAAAGGGGAGGGAGCTGCAGAGCGAGACAGGAAGTTTTAACCCACTTCGCAAGCAAGCAGCGGCCCTTCGTGCCACATGTTCGGAGGGAGACTCCCTCTCTTCCTGCCAACACCAAGCATGATTCAGCTAAGCTGCCACTGCGGAGAGCCAGCCTCAACCACGTGGCTTTGGGGGGGGGGAGAGAAGGAACATTTAGATGGGAGTCTTCCCTCTTTCCTACTTATGCAAAGAATGCTGCTCCTCTAGTTTAAACCCGTTAATTTATTAAAGCTCTCATTTTAGAAATTCTGAACGACATTCCCGGGCAAAAAGAGATGCACGCAAACGCATGCACACCCCTTCCTAGATATTCCAATTCTTCCTACACTCCAAACACAACCCCACCTTCCCAGTCTGTCCTGCAGGCTCCCTGGTCCCCACATGCTGATTCAGCAGCAACACACCTCACGTGGGAAGGGCCTCTTTCAGCCACAATCATTCAGCCACCAGCTCTAGGTCACACCCAGCCCTGGGTCTCTGTCATGCAGTGAAAGCCCAGCCAACACCCACCACGGCTATTCGGCACTGGCCAGAAGCTCTATGCAGAGGACAAAGTAAGGGCTCTTTTGAGTAGGATCCCACCAACCCGAAGAAAAGTGATGCCACAAGTTCGGCTGCTAAGGCACAAGGAATCCTGGGCCACTGTTCCCCTCTTGGCGTAGAAGCAACAAGTTGGGACTTATAATTCTGGCTAAGCCAGAATTAAACTCATCCAGGCCACTCTCCAGATAGTCTGACCTACCTTACAGGGTGAGTTTGGTTCCACTTAATTTTTAAACTCAAAATAAAGCAGAAATCAGCACACGCCCTGGACAACTAAGCCTGCACCCCTTGCTAATGAGAAGACATCCCTAAGCACAAGCAATGGTTAACCGAACCCAGACCACACAACCTTTATTTTGATTTTTCTGGCTATATAAGGATTTATTCTGTCTATTTTCTTCCAGTACTTAAGACTGCAATACCACCAGGTATGAAAAAAAAGGCTTGTGGCATTTGTGGAAGCTTCAAATACATTAGTTACAGTTTTACATATTGGCTGAAATCCAGTAGTAAATCACAACTAGAGTAGACCCACTGAATCTGTAGTGATTTGGTCAGACAATTCCATAGGTTCCACTGAGTCAGCGGGCCTCCTCTAGCTGTGACCTGGTCCAGGATTTCAGCCATTAAGTAAACTTTTACTTGGCTTACCTGCAAGCCCACAGGAAGCCATCTTAAGCCTTCGCAGCTTATTCCTCTTGCTGTCCCCCTCCTCACTCACTTACAAACACAAAAATTACCCCACCCGGCAGCTCCTTCTCTTAGCTATGCCCACTAGTATGGAAAACCCCAAAATCATTGCCTCCTGAGTTTCTCTTCCACATTATCCACTCCTGCTGTACTTTCTTCAGCCACAAGCGAGAGGTGGAGGTGAAGAAGAACCAGCAGGTCTCGTTTTTTTTTTTTACCTACACCTCCCTTCTCAAAGGGAAACTGCATGAGTCAATCTCTCCAAAAACCATGCTACTTAACACCTAGGAGCCTCTCTCCCCCCCCCCATAACTTTGGGGCCTACTGGGAGAAATTTCCACATTTCAGTCCTACCTCTCCCAACCAGAATTTCCCTGCTCTGCTCCCCCAAAAGTGCTTTCGTCCTAAGCTGGTGAGTCTTTTTCGGTTCTCATCTCCTGCACTCCCTCCTCACCCAAGCCTCAGAGCTAGGCAGAGGACCAGCCTTTTAGGAAATCACCTCCGCCATGCTTCTGCATGCGGCTGGCCGTCTCCCATGTGGAACCCATGATCTTTCCCTACAACCCTCCTGGGAAACCCACCAACTACTGTACTCATGGAGCCTAGAAAGCTAGCTGAAGGTTGCAGGTGGAAACCCTAAAATAACACAAACACACCCATCACACTAACCAGAGGAGAACATCAGGGATCATTGCCGCCGGCTCTCCCCATAAAACACCACCACTGCATTTTTTTTTCAAAGTTCAGCTCAGGACAAGCTTCCCCACCCACCCTAACCCCATATACTGTATACAGTAATTTTCCCCATCCCCCAAACATCACTCCAGGCACTCCCTCCAAAGCTACCCCTTCTTCTTCGGGATAGGAGTGCTACTGAGACAAATCCCCAGCCCACGTGCACACACAGC